AGCCTGCTGCTGAGTTGAGTTACCAGACATCCTCCATGTGAGAAGCAGCGAACATTGAATCTCAGGGATGGCCCACAACTGGGTCCACATGTAACGAGCCCTGTTTAATAACGAAGGGGTTGGGGAGAGCAGTCCGTCTACAACCTGGAATCAGATTTGCAAAGGTTTCCTGCACTGCTGTCTGACACTGTCCTGTTGATGCCCTTTCTGACTGTGTTCTCTGTTTTCTCTGTCTGCTGTCTAACCCTGTGCCTTGCCTGGGATAAGGACAATGATGAGGTTACTGGTTTGGATTGTAAGTAGAGGACTTTTATTAATTGGTTTAGAGGTTCACTGCTGCTTTGTCACTTTCTCAATCAAATTGGCCACTTATTTAAGAAATAAAAAGCTGGTAGAATTGCATCCTCAGATGATTATTGACTGTGTGTGTGTGTGTGTGTGTGTGTGAAAACAGACATTCCAGTGCCACCCAAGTATCTCTAACGTGCCCAAGAAATCCTAGCTGTGCTCTGGAGAGTGCAAGCCGTGGAAACTGTTCAGACAGCGCGTGGAGCCTAGTTGCCTGTTGTCACAGCAGCTTGCGCTTTAGGAGACGAAGACCGTCCTGGTTCGTCTGTGTGTGGTGTGACCAGTGGTGTGCCCAGAGCATTCCTCTCAAAATCACTAGTGTTAGCAAGTCGTCCCAGGCTGGGGAGCACTCGCTGTAGTCTTTGGAAAGCTTTGGCTTTAGATTTACCAAGCCCCGTCTCCCCACTGCCAGTGCCCTGCTCTCCCGTTCGCCTCTTTCTGTTTCTGTGTGAACTTCCCAGTAATATCACTCGTTAAATAGATTTTCTTTAAATTTATTTAAAGAACAACTATTTAAAAGTAAAGGATATTTTGTTGACATTGGTGGCTTGATCGTCCTTAAGCAACTGAAGTTAAAATTGTTGAAAGAAAAGGCACTTAAACTGGTTACTCTTTCTCGTCCAGCTGTATATAAGTCCAGTGTGTTCATTAATCTAGCTGACACAAAGAAGAATCTCCTGGTAGAGAAGCGACGTGTAAAAAACTGGTGGAAAAAGGTTTTGGATTTTTTTCCAGTGGGGTGGGGGGAGGGCAAGCTGGATTTACAGGTCACGGCTGGACTGAATGGGCCTTTTTATCTTCCCACCGTATCATGGAAGTAGCTGCTTGCTTGTACTGCCTGTCCTTCAGGCATCCCTAAAGCTCACTCTGAAGATGGTAGAGACAAACACAGACTCTTGGAGTCAAAGTTGATCCTGACACTGACACGAAGGCAAGCCTTGATTTCATATGAACATTGCAGAGCTGGCGATTGAGAAAACAGTTCCCCAGATTGTAAGAGTTCACTGAAGATATTGACACAATTTAAAAAAAAAAATCAGTAAAGGAATGTATATAATATTGCTCTCGTGTTTTACAGTAAGATTTGTTGCTCTCAGACTGTGTAAAACAAAATTTATTCATGTTTTCTGCATATTAAAAAATCTTATTGTACCAATTGGTAAACTATTAAATGCCTATAAAACTAGATGTGATTTTTTTTTTTGGGGGGGGGGATCTTCCTTTGCACAGGTGAAATCCTGACGGAAAGTGGGGCTGTATGTAGCACCAGTCACAAAGAGTGACACGAATTGGTGTGAGGGCGGTAGGGCCTGATGAGCTGCTTTTCTTGAGGGCAGCACCCGGACTGGCTTTGCTGTCCCCTTTCCCCCAGGTGGTGGAGGGAGTGCCGTAGCGTGGGCCCTTACCATGGCGGGCGTCTGCGGCACAGGCCAGCTCTCCCCCACCCTCCCAGCAGCCCATTCTGACGATGGCTATTGCTGTGGCCAGAGTCAAACCCAGGATGACCGGTTACAGGCCCAAGACTAGACTCTTGGGGTCAGAGTCTGGAGAGAAGGGACCCTGCCGGGCGCGGTGGCTCACGCCTGTAATCCCAGCCTTTAGGGAGGCAGAGACGGGAGGATAGCTTGAGCCCAGGAGTTCAGTACCTCTGGGCAATATAGCGAGACCCCGTTCTCCACAAAAATGGGAAAAAAAGAGATGGGGCCCTACCCTCTTTGTTCTGTGAGTGAACCTCTTATCTTGCTCAGTGGTCTTGGATTCACGAAGGTAAATCCTTAATACTGTTTTCAATTTTGGTTGCAACATACCAAAATAAGAATGTTCATCTTTGTCCCAGAAACCCCAGCTCTGTACTTGACAAGGGGCTGTATCTTGTATTCGGGGCAGCTACCAAGGACAGTTTGGTGATGTGCTGGTTCCTTTCTTACAGCCCAGCTGTTTTCCTGCCTCCTGTTGGGAGTAGTAGCCTCCCCCCGAATAGGAGCCTGGCCCAGAGCGAAAAAGAAATGGGCCGGGCGCAGTGGCACGCCTGTAATCCCAGCACTTTGGGAGGCCGAGGCAGGCAGACTGCCTGAGCTCAGGAGTTTGACACCAGCCTGGGCAATACGATGAAACCCCGTCTCTACTAAAAATACAAAAAATTAGCCAGGCGTGGTGGCGCGCACCTGTAGTCCCAGCTACTTGGGAGACTGAGGCAGGAGAATCGCTTGAACCTGGGAGGTGGAGGTTGCAGTGAGCCGGGATTGCACCGCTACACTCCAGCCTGGGCAATAGAGCAAGATTCCGGCTCAAAAAAGCAAGAAAAAAGAAATGGGCCTGAAGTTAGTTCACTGCCCTTTTGCAGCTTTTCCATCTCCTTGCAAGAGTCTTCCAGGCTGAGATCCAGATGACAGGGCTCCGGGGCAGCATTAGTATCACTATCCAGAAATGCTATTAGCTGTTCAAAACCTGGCAAGTAACTCGCTGGCAGGTAACAGCCTCAAACCTCCTTCAGGAGTCATGACTGTATGGCCTTTGATGCAGGGGGAGGGTAGCTGGCTGTGGCAGCTCTGTCTGTCCCTGCCTAGCCTGGCGAAACCTGACTTGTGTGCAGACAGTTCTTAACTGCTGACACACCAGAAGCTCTAGGACAGGGATCCTCAAAGTGTGTTCCTTGGTTCAGCAGCATTAGCAGCAGCTGGGAGCTCGTTAGAGACGCAGGTCGTAGGCCCCACCTCAGACCCCCGAATCGAAAAGGTGCAGCCTGCTTGCTTTATTTATAATCTACTTTAACAAGCCTTTCCAATGAGTCTGAGGCAGGCTCAGGTTTGAGAACCACTGAGCTAAATGATTCAGCTTCTCACCAAAGAAACTTGGGCACATCACTGGTCCCTTGGCCCCACAGCTCAGGTTTGGATCCTGATTTTTCCTCTTTCATCCTTTGTTTACTTTTTGAGACGGGGTGTCACTCTGTCACCCAGGCTGGAGTGCAGTGGGGTGATCTAGGCTCATGGCAACCTCTGCCTCCTAGGCTTTAGGCGATTCTCCTGCCTCAGCCTCCCGAGTAGCTGGGATTACAGGTGCCCACCACCACACCCGGCTAATTTTTGTAATTTCAGTGGAGATGGGGTTTTGGCATGTTGGCCAGGCTGGTTTCGAACTCCTGGCCTCAAATGAGCTGCCAGCCTCGGCTTCCCAAAGTGCTGGGAATACAGGCATGAGCCACCGCGCCCGGCCCAGGACCCCACTTTTTAAAAAATTGAAACCTGTCACCTAAAAGAAGGGAAGGCAAAAGAATGGATTTCACACCTAGAGCCTCCACTTGCTTTATGGAAACAGCCCTTTGTGATTTGGGTGGTGAAAAGATGTCTGAGGGCACTAATACGCGTAAAGGATCAGCCAGGAAACACGGGCCTCTCAGGTGACGGGAGGTACAATGGTAATCACACCTGATCCGTTCGCACCTTCACAGGAGGCCCCATTTTGAGAGGTGCGTGAACGTGTGGTCCACGTTCCCAACACTCAGGAGAGGGGAAAGCATGTGTAGGACACGCCGGTGAGATGGCGAAAGCTGCTGGGGCTGGGGCTGCTGGAAGTACGGGAGGTTTCTGGAGCAGGCCACTTGCTGGTGGCTGTCCCCGGCTGTCACCTAAAACCTCCAGGTCAGAAGCACCTTTTCTCCAGTTGGCTCAGGAAAACTAACAGACTCAGGGTTGGAATTTTTTTCTTTGCAGAATTTCCGAGACGTACAGATCTCTCCAAGCATCCCAAAAGGCGTTTGTTCCTGGTGGGGCCGAGGGCCTGTTCTTGGGGACTGATGGCGAGCCGCGGCCAGCAGCTGCCCTGAGTGCTCAACTTCTCCTCTAGAGACAGGCTTTGCCAGGCGCGGTGGCTCATGCCTGTAATCCCAACACTTTGGGAGGCTGAAGCGGGTGGATCACGAGGTCAGGAGTTCAAGACCAGCCTGGCCAAGATGGAGAAACCCTTCTCTGCTAATACAAAAATTAGCCGGGTGTGGTGGTGCATACCTGTAGTCCCAGCTACTCGGGAGGCTGAGGTAGGAGAATCATTTGAACCCGGGGGTGGAGATTGCAGTGAGCTGAGATTGTGCCACTGCACTCCAGCCTGGGCGACAGAGTGAGACTGTCTCAATAAATTAAATAAATAAATAGAGACAGGCTTTGCCCCTCAAGTCCGCCTGAGTCTCGGCTCTCTAAATCCTACCCAAGGGTGGCAAACTTGAGGCCCTCCTCCCTGCCCCCAGTGTCTCACCTCTGTGAGTGCTACCCAACCTCCTTCCCACCTCGAATGAAGCGACATGGGCAGGTGCCCAGCCGGGGGTGTGTTAATGACCTCACGGGATCAGCATGCACAGGGCCTGGCCCCACAGCCCAGCACCCCTCCCCACCTGGCCTTCACTGCATTTCTTCTATGCCCAATGACAGGTGACATTCGCCTGCACGACACTCCAGCGAGCCTGGTGACTGACTGGCAGCTCGGTGAATTCCAGCTGAGTGCCTGTGATTCCACCCCCTTACCTCCTGCTCGAGTGACAATGTAAGCATGACCTCGAAATTGACCTCACTTGTATCTATTCCTCTCCCAGTCACATTCCTGTCAGCCTTCACCATCCACCCAGACCGGGTTACAGAACACTCAGGTGAGCCTGCGGCCGCAGGTTTCAAAAACTCACTTTATTCCAATGTGAAATGAGGACGTGATGGTTTAAAAACAAGAAAAAGTTCTTGCTCAGCGGTGGGGATACTTTGCTTGCTAGCTCACGCCCATCCCCTTTGAAACAAGGTGTCTGCACAGACCGCACCCAAAAGCAGCTCTCCGTAAACCCAGGCGGACGCCCGTCTCCTCCAGGTCTCAGGGTGGTCACATCCTCCCCAACCAGGGCTCTGACAGCAGGCACAGAGCAGCAGCACAGGAAGGGGGGAGCAGGAAGAGCGAGGCCTGTGGGGGCCCCCACCACCCCCAGAGCTAGTCTCAGACCAGGAAGGGAGCTGGGCTCCAGAGAAGCGACATCACATCGGCACCTGTAACTTCCCCCAGCCCCGCCCCCCGCCCACTGTGCGTTAGGCAGCTCAGGTTCGAACGAGGAGAGGGATACATTCAGACTGCAGACCCCGAGGGTATGCCCAGCTGGGTGCAGGGAGCAGGGAGCCAAGTCAGAGCCTACGGCAGCGCCACCCACTGGGCTTGAGGGCAGACAAGCCAGGGCCGGGCACACAGGCTCTGAGGGCCCAGCACAGCCAACCCCGACCCCTTCATTTGGGAGCAGCAGCCAGACCAGGCCCATCACAACTGAAACAGCCCTGCGGCTCCTGTCCTGCCCCAAACTAAAGTGCACCCCAAACCCTCCAGCCCTGCCACAGAGCTCTGGCTCCCCATCCCAGGACACAGGAAAGGCCCCTCCCCACCATGCTTTTTGGCTTTAAACCTGAACTTTCAGAGAGGTTGGGCCTAGGGGTAGTGGCAGCAAAAGCAGCAGCCATCATGTCGACCATACAAACGACCTGAGAAATCCCACCTGTGCACCACCCACGCAGGACTGGCTCGGGCTATGTACAGGGGAGAGGAACGGCCAACACTCACAGCCACGGACGCACGCGCACACACCTGCTGGAGGGTGGGGGCCTGAGGAACACCTGCCCCCCGGCCGGGAACGGATGGCTGCACGCGCCATTCACGTGTCTTCAATGGGGCCTCTGCATCATATATTCATTGAACCAGTGCAAAAACACCATTTGCGGGGCAGGCAGGCCAGGGTCCCAGGAAGATACGGGGGTGGGGTGGGGTGAAACGTGGAAGAAGAGGGCCTTGCTTCCTCTTCCGCCCGCAGGCACGCCCCCTTCTCCTGGAGTCTGGCTCCCTGGTGACGGGGCCGCTGGCTGACTGTCCGTCTGTCTCCCTCTCTATCCCTGCACGCTGGGAGAAGGGTCCTTGGCAGCCGGGGGCTGGGAGCCCAGGTCCTCTGGGGCCCCCGCTGGCGCGGGCTCGGTGGCCATGGGCTCCTCGGCCCTATCCTTGTTTCTGCTGGCCTCCTGGAGCTGGTGCCGCCGCGCCACCTCGGCTTTCAGATTCTCCAGGTCTTTTTGGCTGAAGAGAAGGGTGGGGATGGAGGTGGGTCTCAGGAGTCCTGGGCCCTCCACCACCCTCCTGGCTTTTGGGATAAACTCAGGCTCTGTGCTCTCTTCAGTGGGAAACGTGTGTGAACAAGTGCTTCCCTCCTGAAGGCCGAGGGTCCCTGGACATGGAGAAGGTAAGGACCCCGCACCTGACCCAGTCTCCGGGCTCCCCTCACACCCAATTCCAGTCACTGCCCTCTGCGGCCTCCCTCCAGAACAGATGGAGGAAAGTGGAGTCGCGGCGCTGCTCCCAAGCCCTGCGGACCATTTTAAATCCACTCCCCCCATGAGGCCACACTGCTTGTGAGCACCCGGGGAGCCCGGGGCCTGCTCCTCAGGCACACTCCGCCGTGGAAGGGGAGGCGGCGGGGAGGGAACGAAGCCGCTTCGTAGGTACTGGATGGGAAGACGCCAAGATACACTGTGTGAAGCCGAAACACCAAGGTCTTCACTCATGGAATAGGAGGATGCTGAGTGAAATAAGGGGCGGGGCGCGGTGGCTCCCGCCTGGAATCCCAGCACTTTGGGAGGCCGAGGCGGGCGGATCACGAGGTTAAGAGATTGAAACTATCCTGGCCAACACGGCGAAACCCCGTCTCTGCTACAGACACAAAACTCAGCCGGGTGCGCGCCTGTAATCCCAGCTTCTCGGGAGGCCGCTGAGCCCGGGACCCGGAGCTGGCAGTGACAGAGATCGCGCCACTGCACCCCAGCCTGGGCGACAGAGCGAGGCTCCCACGCAAAAACCAGAAACCACCAGGACACGCTTCTGAGCGGGGCGGGGGCTCACCTGAGAGGAATGAAGAGGATGCCGTTAATGACGTTCAGCTGCTCCAAGACGCTGGCCATGCTGGGGGCTGTGAACTGCGGGGCGGGGAAAGGAGCCGTGAGCGGGGCTCCCGCGCCCGCTGGGCTGCAGGGGCCGCTCCGCCCGGTCTCCGGCAGGTCTCACCTTGAGCGGCGGGATGTTGGCGCTGGAGCCGTTGCGGTAGATCTCATTCATGGTGCGCTGCAAGGCCACGGCCTGCTGGGTCAGGCACTTGAGGTACTCGGAGCTCTCCTTGGTCTTCTCATGGTCCTCGCCCAGCTGCGGGGAGGCGGGCGGAGGCAGGAAGGGATCGGACCCGCCCCGTGGCCCCAGCCACAGCCCCGCGCCTGCCGCAGCGCGCCCTGCCCACCTGCGTCTTGTAGATGGTGTAACCCTCCTTCTCGTGCTGCAGGGCCGACCGGAACTCAGCTTTGCTCTCGTAGACGCGGGCGACAAGGTGGTGGCTGCCGGGAGGCGCCGGGACGAGGAAAGGGCATAAGAGGGCTGGGCGTGGGGGCCTGACTCGGGGGCCGGGGGTCTCCTCTAGATCCCTCCCTGGAAGCCACCGAGGGGAAGATCAAGTCCAGGCTCAGCAAAGAGGGGGAGGTGGAGAGAAATTTTCTCGGTGTCCGAGGAAGCCAGAGCACTGGGCCTCTCCCATGCCCCCACCGCACGCCCCCACCGGCCTCTGTGGCCCTTGGAGTTTGGGCGAGCGGCCGCCTCACCTGAGGGCCACCTTGAGGGCCTTGGGCCCGTGGTACTTGGTGCTGACGGCCAGCGCGTTCTCCAGGAAGCGCAGCGACAGGTCGTACTCCATCACCCCGTGCAGCACCAGCCCGATGTTGTTCTGGGGGCAGGCGGGGGGGCCCTGGTCAGCTCCCGGTCCCCTGGGACAGAGGTGGGTCCCTGCTGCCCCCCTGCCCTGGCACTCACGTCCAGCAGCGCCATCTCGGGGTGGTCTTCCCCGAACACCAGCAGCATGAGGTAGCGCGCGCGGTACAGCAGGCTCAGGGCCGTGGACAGCTGGCTGCTGGCGAAGCAGTACAGGGCCAGGTGCATCTGCGGGCGGAGTCGAGACAGGTCAGGGTGGCCGCGGCCCCCAGCCCCTCGCGGCCCGCCCAGGCGGCACTCACATATTCCTGGATGGTGTTGGGGTGCTCGATGCCCATCACCCGCTCGCTCATCAGCACTGCCTTCTGCTGGTTACTCAGGGCCTGGGGAGAGACGGTGGTGGTCGCTGTGGCGTGGGAACACCCCTGCACCCAGAGCCCGCCTGGCCCCGGCCCAGCAGCCCACACGGCACTGCTCTGCACACTCCTGTCCTCTCCAGCTGCGCTCTGGGTCTGTCCCTTGCACAAGGCAGCAGGGGGGTCAACAGCAGCCGCTGCAACACCTTGAGGGGCGGGTCACACTCCACAGAGAGCTCCACACACCCGTGGTCTTACGCCCAACATCATCTCCACAAATACCCAAATACAAACCTAGAACTACTAAAACCGTTAGAAGAAAAAAAAAGCTGAGCGGGGGCAGGTCCCTTGAGGTCAGGAATTTGACACCAGCCTGAACATGGCGAAACCCCATCTCTACTAAAAATACAAAAATTAGCCAGGTGTAGTGGCGGACGCCTGTGGTCCCAGCTACTCCAGAGGCTGAGGTGGGAGAATCGCTTGAGCCCAGGAGGTGGAGGCTGCAGGGAGTCGGTATCACGCCACTGCACTCCAGCTTGGGTGACAAAGCAAGACACCGTCTCAAAAACCAAAAACCAAAAACACCCATTTATAAACAAAAGACAAAACAGTCCCTTTGACTGCAGGGAGTGGGGATCCTAAGACATGCGGACCCTGAAGCAGCCTCCGCCGGCCCCGGCCAGGCAGGCCACCCAGAACCCCACAGCCTGCACTGGGCACAGAGGGCGCGGGAGCTCGGTGGCATGCTTCCTGCCCACTCACGGAGTCTCAGTAGGCAGTCTTGCTGACACCCCGTGGGGGATCCCCTGCCATCGCCTCCCAGAACTGACCTCACCACAGCACAGGGGGCTCCTGAGCTCTCCCCAGGACAGTTACACAAGGGTGGAGCCAGAGGTGACCTGGGCAGAATGATCAACTTCCTGGGGTCTCCCTGGACTCCACCCACTCCTCCGCCAGGGGCCCCCTCACTCCCCATGCCCCAACAAGAGGCCAGGCCTTTGCTGCCACAGCCCAGAGGGTGCCTGAGGCCCACCTCTGCGTAGTCGCCCATGATGTAATGGAGGCGGGCGAGGAGGCGCAGGCAGGCGCAGGTCTCCACGTGCATGGCTCCGTAGACGTTGTTAAACAGGTTCAGGGCCTCGTTGATGAGCTCACAGCCCTCCTTCAGGAAGCCTGCAGGGCACCCCCAGGGGTGGCAAGGTCAGGACGGGGCATGGGGAGCCCCCGCCTCCACCCAGCCCCACCCGGCCACACACCCTGCTGCACTTTGGCCTGGCCGCTCTGGAAGAAATGGAAGGCATCCGAGGCCTTGGGGTTGACGTGCTTGACCACGGGGAAGATGTTGAGCACGTCCTCCTCGGTGAACGCGGGCTTGTGGCGACTGTCGAAGCTGTACTCCTTCAGCAGGACCTGGAGAGCAGCCCCCACACACAGGAAGCCTCAGCCCCAGGCTCAGAGAGTTGGCACCTCCCAACCCACCAACGCTTGCACACAGATGGCTACTATGAAAAAGCCACCTCCCCTGTGTCCCCGGTCGGGGGTGGGAGCCTGCAGCAGGGACGCAGCGGGGACGCAGTGGGACGCGGTGGGGACGCTGAGCCGTGCCCACCTGGATCCCTGTTTTCAGCGAGATCTCCCGCAGGAGTGTTATCTTCTGCAGGCCGTAGGTCTCCACAGCCTGGTCCACAGTCTCACTGAGGAGGGAGCAGGAGGCCTGAGCAGCCCAAGCACCGCTGGGCCCCCCAACACTGTCCAGCCCGGGCCCCCAACACTGCCCCACCCTCCACCCAGTTCCTGGGAGCCTCCGGGCTGCCCTCACCCTCCAGCACCCAGTGATCTCCACACCTCTTCTCTCCTCCGACTCCCTGGCCTATGACCACAGGCCTTAGATGCCATCTGGGAGCCAGTGGTGGCCGCCTCATTTGCCCCACCCCAGCCGTGTCCCAGCCACGCCCTACACGTACCACTCGAGGTGGAAGTCAAAGTAGTTCTTGGCCTCCTGGCAGATGTCCTTCCAGAGCTCCTGGGGGGTCACGACAGCCCAGGCTGTGTTATCTGCAGCCCCGGGGGGCCGGTTTTTCCTCCTCTTATTCCGCTTCTTGGAGACCAGCTCGTCGGCGGGCAGGTGGGCCACGGGGTTAGGGTAGGAGCTCAGGAAGCAGTTCAGGAAGTGGCTGATGGCGGCTGAGAGGCCGGAGAGCTCGACTCCCTGCAAGACAGGTTGGATCCAAGTCACAAGGGCCCGCAGCCCCACCTCAGGCCCTTTCCCGAGGCCCCACACCATGCTGGCAGGCCATGGCCAGCCACGGGGCGGACGGGTGGCACCTGTAAGTACGTCTTGAAGATGTGCTTGGCCGAGCGGGTGATGAGTTCTCCAATGCCGATTTTCTGGAAGGATTCAGAAGGGAGGTCTCGGTCAGGCCCCCCGCCTCCATCCCAGCCCCGCAGCTCCCGTTCCGCCCCCGCCCGGGCAGCACTCACGTAGACGTGGTCCAGCTGGTGGCGGGCCGGGCTCCGCAGCACCAGCTCCAGCACCTTGCCCAGGTAACGCATGTTGATGCCACGCTGGCGCATCACCTCAGCCAGCGTTGCCCCGTCCATGGGCAACACCGCGTGCTCCACGCAGTCCTTCACCTGCGGGCTGCAGCAGGTCAGGCCCCTCCCGGCTCCTCTGCCCCCACCCAGCTGAGTCTTTCTAGGGGAGCACAGCTATTCTGGGAGCCTCTGGAGAAGGACCCCCAAGGCTCTAGCTCCCAGTCAGGATGTGGGAATGTGCCCAGCCTCTGGCAGAAGCAGAGGTGGGAGACGCAGAGGTGCCTGCTTGGGGCCACTACTTGACCCCTAGTCCCGTGTCCTGAGGCTTGGAGGCCATGGTGTTGGGGGAGCACCCAGCACCCCAGGGCCAGGCGCAGAGCCTGTGAGAGGAGGAGGATGGGCAGCCCCCACTGAGCTCCTGCCCCATCCCCCAGCCGTGTCACCACCCACGGGTCAGAAGACTGGCTCCCCAGCTGCCGGTCCACCCGGTGGGCTCAGCAGGGCCCGAGCCCTTGACCTCCGGGAGTCAGGCTCCCCATCTGTCAAACGGGGAGGCCCACTCAGGGAAAGGTGAAGAAGTCACTCCTGCAATCCTGTGTTCATGGGCCTCCAAGTCGGAGACGGATGAGGGACCAGCACCCACCACGCAAGCCCCACCCAGCCCCGCAGCCCCTCCCTCACCAAGCCAGGGATCTGGCACGAGAGCAGGAAGGCCGCCGCGTCCTTCAGCAGCTGCTTCTGGTCCCGAACTTCATCCTGGCAGGACTCAGGGAAGCGAACCCCTGGAGAAGGGAGAGCAGAGAGGCTGAGCCAGGCGGTAGCAAGACAAATGCTGCCTGTGGCTGGTGGGGGAAGCGCTCAGATGGGGGACAAACCCACCAGCCCCAAGAGGCCCAGTCCCCCCCAGAGAAGCTCTGGTCCTGGAGGGCTCCCGCACTGGCCGGCCCCTACCACTTGCCTGGTGAGAAGATGTCAGGATTGAAGCGAATGTCGAAGGCGGTGCTGCTGATGGAGCCGACCGCCTTGCACGCGTTGCGGATCACCTCCCGGCTCCGAGGGTCTGCTGTGGAGACACGGCTCCATGAGACGCGGGTCCCCTCTGCCACCGGCGGAGCTGGGCTGCCCCACGCCTCGCCCCCTAGCTCCTCGCAGAGACGTCTGCCAGCCTCTCCCAGGTGGGGTCATGAGCCACCCTGGCAGGGCCAGCCCGGGCTCTCCCCCGGCATCTGCAGCAGCCTCACCTGTGCCGTCGTCTGCAGCGATGGTCTCTGCCAGCTCCTTCACCTTGGCCAGGCCGCTGGCACTGCTCCCCTCCTCCTCACTTCCCGCCTCCGGTCCTGGAGGGTCCTCAGACTTGGACTCCAAGGAGGAAGGACCACCATTTTCCAGGGAGGAGGGGGTCTCCAGCTGGCTGGCTTTCTGCTGCATCAGCTGCAGGGCAGCCAGCTTCATAAAGAGGAGGTACCTGGAGCAGAAGAGACAGGGCAGAGCAGGAGCTGGGAATCGGGCAGAGGAGCTCTGCTGGCCCAAGGCTCCCGGTGGCTGGGGCTCCACACCCCGCAGGCATGAGGCACCTTCTGGCCGGTGTTCACGAGTCAACGCAGAAAAACCAAGATCTCCCAAGAGAGGAAATAGAAGGTGGCCGGGGGTGGTGGCTCACGCCTGTCATCCCAGCACTTTGGGAAGCTGAGGCAGGAGGATCACCTGAGGTCGGGAATTCGAGATCAGCCTGACCAACGTGGAGAAACCCCGTCTCTACTAAATATACAAAAAGTTAGCTGGGCGTGGTGGCGGGCGCCTGCAATCCCAGCTATTCGGGAGGCTGAGGCGGGAGAATCACTTGAACCCAGGAGGCGGAAATTACGGTAAGCCTAGATCACGCCATTGCACTCCAGCCTGGGCGACAAGAGCAAAACTCCATCTCAAAAAAAAAAAAAAAAAAAAAAGGCTGCATTATGGAGGGGATGGGACAAGAAGGGCTCCCCATCCGGCTCAGGGCTCTCGAAAGTGACAGGAAGCCACTGGCATTTGAAAGAGTTACTCACACTGTGGGACCTCTGACATGGCCATTTCCTAACCCTACACACCAGCGGCAGGGACCCCCGGTGCCCCACCTGCCCGCCCCAGCACTGGGACAGTCACAGCCACCCAGACTTCCTAATGCTCCTTAAAAGAACAGCGCCGTTGCAGCCGGGTCACCTGCCTGGGTGCTCACGAGTCTGCAGCCCTGGTTTCTGCACTTAGGAGCCTGACAACAGCGCAGGTGGGGACGGGTCTCCAATGACTGTGGCCAGACGGAGCCCTTCTTCACTCTCCGGCGCTTCTCCAAGGACCCAGCCCTAGCCCCACCCAGGGCGCCCGCATTCCCTGCAGCTGACCCTGGCCCTGGCCCAGCAAGGCCGCCCCTCACCTGTGCTCCACGAAGGCGTCCACCAGCTCCTGGCGCAGGCAGCAGAGCTTGTGTCGGTGCGCGCGCGGGAAGCCGGCGCGGGCGCATTCCTCAGGCAGCTCCTCGCCAGGCACCGGCAGGAAGTTGAGGTCTGGGGGGAAGGTGCGCAGCAGGTCGAGGATATAGTGGCGCCCGTCGTTGCCAATGATGCCCTTGCACTCGACCGAGGAGCAGAGCTCCACCTCCTCGTCCCGGTCGTTGAGCACCCGGTGCCGCAGGATCTTGAGGGGCCGACTCGTGCGCTCCAGCAGCTCCAGGTACCGCGGGTGCGACACCACGGTCTTCCCGAAGTCGATGGAGCCGTAGATGACGCTCTGCTCCTGGTCCCGCTCCAGGATGCCGGGGATGATGGACTGGGCCGTGACGCGGTAGCCGCGGTAATCCACCACCACCGTGCCCAGCGTGTACAGCCCCTCCACGTCCACCGCGTTGTAGGTGCGGACGCCGTTCAGGTCGTTGGTGGGCGCCACGTAGGCTGCCACGTCCCCCCCGAAGTCCTTGTAGTGGTCTCGGACGTCGAAGCCCAGGCTGAAGAAGATGTTGTTCCAGATGAACATCTGCATCTTGGTCTCCTCGCTGGGGTTGATGGCCATCACATTGCCGTCAATGACGGCCATGGCACCCCGGGTGGCTGCCGCGGTGAAGTCGCTGTGCACCTGCGGGGGTCGAGGAGGGGAGGGTAAGAGGCCCTGCCCAGGAGAGCCTGCATCCACCTGGCCAAGCGCACCTAGACCGCCAGGGCAACCAGCCCTGCTTTGGAAACCCAGGGACCCAGAGCCTGAGTTTCCTCATTATGTAGAAAAGGGCAAGAAAACCACGTTTTGGCCGGGCGCGGTGGCTCAAGCCTGTCATCCCAGCACTTTGAGGGACCCAGGCGGGCAGATCACCCGAGGTCAGGAGTTCGAGACCAGCCTGACCAATATGGTGAAACCCCATATCTAATAAAAATACAAAAAAAGAAAAAAAACAGCCAGGCATGGTGGTGCACGCCTGTAGTGCCAGCTACTTGGGAGGCTGAGGCAGAAGAATTGCTTGAACCCGGGAGGTAGAGGTTGCAGTGATCACACCACTGCACTGCAGCCTGGGGGACAGAGTGACACTCCATCTCAAAAAAGCAAGCAAACAAACAAAACCTCCATCTTTGAAAATACACTTGTGCTCAGGGAGACAGCAGAGCTGAGTGATTAACAAGTGTGGGCAAGTTTGGGACCCACCAGTTATGTGCCAGGTGAACTTGAACAGATAAAGGTATTTACAAGTCCAAAATATTACACAAAATAGTGTCTATAATGCACTTGGCACCATCTCTAGGGGAAGTTGGTAACTGAGAAATGAGTTTTTGTTTCTACAATTATCATCTCTAGGCAGTAAAACGATGGAAAGTGTTTTGTTTTTTCTTCAGACAGGGTCTCATTCTGTTGCCCAGGCTGGAGTGCAGTGGCACGAGATCTGAGCTCACTCGACTTCCCCTGGCTCAGGCGATCCTCCCACTTCAGCCTCCTGAGTAGCTGGGACTACAGGCACATGCCACCATGCCCGGCTAATCTTTTGTATTTTTTGCAGAGACAAGGTTTCACCAAGTTGCCCAGGCTGGTTTCCAACTCTTGGGCTCAAGTGATCCCCCCGTTTCAGCCTCCCAAAGTGCTAGGATTACAGGCGTGAGCCACTGTGCCTGGCTGAGATGTGTTTTGAGATGCAGTCTTGCTCTGTCGCCAGGCTGGAGTGCAGTGGTGCAATCTCAGCTTACTGCATCCTCCGCTTATTGAGTTCAAGCGATTCTCCTGTTTCAGCCTCCCGAGTAGCTGGGACTACAGGTGCCAGCTACACGCCCAGCTAATTTTTGTATTTTTAGTAGAGATGGGGTTTCCCCATATTGGCCAGGCTGGTCTTGAACTCCTGACCTTGTGATCTGCCCGTCTCGGCCTCCCAAAGTCCTGGGATTACAGGCATGAGCTACCGAAGCTGGCCTGAGATTTTTTTTTTAAGCAACTACTTCTCCTCATTTCTCTTACTAACCCAGTGCTAATAACTTTTAAACCCCAGCCAGCTAAAAGTGTTAATGCAGATGAGCTCCCGCCCTAGAAGGGCCACGGTTGGCCAGCGTTCGCCCAGGCAAAAGCCCCGCGGCAGTCACTGGAGGGCGGGAAGCTGGATGGCCCTGGACACTCAGTCCCTACGGGAGGCAGGGCCCGCTCCTCCCAGGGACTCAGAGCCTCAAAGAGACCAGAAAAAGGTACTGGGATGGTCTGCTGGGAGGCAGACGGCTAGCAGACCCTGCAGGACACCCTGACTGGCCTTTGGGGAACCTGACAGGGTTAGGGCTGCCCCTGCCTCCCTTGCTTTCCTCCTGTCCACAAGAAAACCCGTCAGCAGGTAGACGGTGGGCCTGAGACTGCCGGTCAGCAGAGGCTGCAGGCACCTTGAATATGGCCCTTTCTCGGAGCAGCCGCTCAGGCAGGTTCTTGCGAGGCAGCTCCCTCGTCGTCTGCAGCTCCTCATTCCAATCTCGGGTCTGCAGAGCGATCAGAGAGGGCGATATGGGCTCAGCCTGTGCCCTGTGAGCTGCTCTGGGCAGTCCCTCCTTCCACCTTCCTGAGAACAGCCCCAGACCCGCAAATGAAGAGTCAAGCATGGGGCTTCCAGGAAGTGCACGGAACCAGCCCAGCACCCAGGAGGGCAGGGGTGCCCAGCGAGGGCAGGGCCAGGCCGCAGGCACCTGTCCAGGAATGTGCTCCTCGTAGCCCAGCCTCGAGGTATAGGCATCCTCTGCGCGCACGCAATCCATGGCATGCTCCGCCTGGGGTGCTGTCCAGCTGTACACCTGGAATGGGGTGGCGATCCTCTCGAACGGGTGGCGCTGGACCCTGTGGCAGGCAGGGGAGGGGAAGATGGCGCAGCCCACCAAGCTCAGAGCCCTGCCACGGGCCCTCTCCTGAGGCCCCCGCCTGCCCCGGCATCTCCTACCCTGAGACACCGCCCTGAAGTCCGAGGGAAGCGCACGGGCCCTCTCCCGCAGCTGCTGTCTCGGCACCGACTGACAGCTCCCTAGAGCGGGGACTCCAACACTGGGGGCCCAGGGCGGTTTCTCCAGACAGAAGCACTGGAGTGCAGGGCCGGCTCACCCCATGCCCCGTGTGCCACGAGACAGGCGGGAGGGCGAAGGCACTACCTTTTCTTCTGCAGCACAGCGAAGTTCTTCCTGAAGGCCGGGCTGATCTGGTTGAGCAGCTCCACCAGGGAATGGCTGAGGAAGCGGGGGCTGGCGGGCTTGGGGTTGAAGTGATAAGCTGTGGACCTGCAGGGAGGGGGGGGCACTGAGCGGGGGCCCAGGTGTCTGCCCAGACCCAGAACAGCCGGCAAGGCAGGGGGGCGTGGTGGGCTGGCAGGGACTCACTGATTCAGGTAAAAGCCCCGTGTGGACGCGGTGATGCTGACTTGCCGGTCCTCGGCCGTGATCACAAACAGGTACATGAGGTCCCCATGCATCTTCCGGTTCCCCGGGGGCGGGTTCCAGCCGCTCATGGTGAGTACTTTCAGGCACTGCAAGGGCTGCGGGAGTGGCCGAGCCTGAGGGGCCAGGCCTCTGGTGTGGGGCCTCCACCCCGCCAGGGACCCTCTTCCTCCCTCCCCCAGGATCCTACCTTCCAGTCGCGGTTTTGGGGCTGCAGGGGACACAGTGGCCGCTCCCGGCTCCCTGGCAGGATGTACTCGGGCGGTGTACAGTCGATGGGATCCATCTCCAAGCCCTTCTTCCGCTTCCCGCTGTCTGAGGGACCCGAGGCTGGTCCTCAGCACAGAGCCACCAGGGCCAGCCGTCTCCCCACCTGCCGATGCCCTGGTCTGGGTGCCTCAGGCCCAGGTCCCTCGGCCCCTTCTCTAGCCCCCCACCTTTCCCCGCCCCTTGGTCCAATCCCCGGCCCCAATGCCTCCCGCACCTCCCAGGTCGCCGTCGGTGAAGACACTCAGGAAGGACAAGGAGTTGCAGTCAACCCCGTTGAAGGCATCGGATGGGTCCAGGCTCTTGAGCAGGTCTCGGACGTGGCGCACGTGGATGCGGGCCTCACGCACCGTGTACGGCTCTGTCAGGAAGGCGGGAGGGGACGGTGTTACCAGAGCCCTGAACCCTGAACAACCTGCTCAGCACCAAACAGGTTTCGGGGGTGCTAACATAGTGGTTTTAATTTTCAACTTTAGGCTTCCGTTTTCCAATCCCACTATGAACACATAAGCTGGAGTTCTGCTTTTGACACCACACACACACACACACATACGCTCTGCCTACTGGTGAGCAGGGATCTTTGTTCATAAAGAACTTTCTGCCAAATGCCTGGGAAGCACACACAGGCCTCAGGCGTCCGTCCACACGGCCGCCTGCTTTTGTGCGCCAGCGTCTCGGGGGGACAGGGCTTCTGGAGCTTCGGGGCTTTCACAGCACAGCCTTGCCCTGCTCTCCCGAGGCAGCCTCGTGGAGGGGTGGCCTGAGGACTTTTCAAGGCCCCCAATGTCAACACTGCCCACTATGCGGTTTCATGGGATTTTAATGGCGGCTCTTTTGGTGGTGGGGAGAGGTTCCGTGATCAACCGTGGGCGCTGTTGAGCTACAGATCTTTTCCGTCACTGCTTTCAACAGGCCCTGGGTGGGGAACCTGAGCAGCTTCTACCCAGAAAACTCAAGGCCACGGACCAACCTGATGGCACCTCACTGTGCCCGCCCTCCCCACTCCAGGGCTAGGGAACTTTTGGGACTTCTCATTCATCTCTACAGAACTGGCCTGGGCTGGCTGCATGGTACTGCCGGATTTTTCTGTTTTAGAATCATGGCTCTGTTCTTTTGTTTGTTTTTTTGAGACGGAGTTTCACTCTTATTGCCCAGGCAGGAGTGCAGTGGCACGATCTGGGCACACTGCAACCTCTGCCTCCCAGGTTCAAGTGATTCTCCTGCCTCAGCCGCCCAAGTAGCTGGGATTACAGGCGTGTGCCAGCACGCCCGGCTAACTTTTTGTATTTTTAGTAGAGATGCGGTTTCACCATGTTGGTCAGGCAGGTCTCCAACTCCTGACCTCAGGGGATTCACCCACCTCGGCCTCCCAAACTGCTGGGATTACAGGCGTGAGCCACCACGCCCAGCCCACGGCTCTGTTCTTCAACCCATGGGCTGTGAAGTTGGCAGATATAGGTGTGATGACCTGAGAAGCAGACCTGCGCTCCAATCCTGCCTCCATGAGCTCATCTGTGACACAGGGACCCTGGCATGGACGGTGCTGCCTGCCTCTGCCTCCGTGGACCCTCCCCTGGGCAGGCGCCCAACTTCCAGACCAACCTTCCACCACGCGCAGCACGGAGCCCTCCTGCAGCCCCTCAACACTGCGCAGCTCCGAGAAGTGGTCCAGCACGTTGCCGTCCAGGTGCAGCGAGAAGCAGGTGCGGTGACACGTGTCCTCACGGTCCATGAGCACCTGGTGGATCTCCTGCACCATCTCCTGCGGGGACACCTGCAGGAAGAAGGCCCCGACCACCCTGGTGAGAGGCCATGTAGCAGAGAGCAAGGACAATACCACCTTGTCCCCAGCCCAAAGTACCTTGGCCCCCAGAATAAATGCCCCAAATACTCGACTTCCCACTTTCTGGCTTTTAAATCCAGGCCGTGTCCACACGTGCCACGCCCTGTGTGTGCAGCCTGGAGCGTGGCCCACCAACTCGGCCCTGCAGACCAGGAGCAATCCCCGAGCAGAGAAGGGGAGATGGAAGAACAGGGGGTCAGAATTCTGACGGCAGCCTCACCCCCATTCTTGCCCAGTGCTAAGGTGCCTGGAGCAAATGGCTTCCACTTTCCAGAAGGGGTGCTCTGGGGCCCAAGCCTGTGGGTGCTGAGACGTAGGACGGCCCTGCCTCATTCCCCAGTGAGTCACCGGCTTGCAAGACCTCCACGTTGGCTCTGCCCTTGGAGATTACCCAATACCACCCTCCCCTCTGGCAGATGGTAAAATCACGGCCGAGAGAGAGCTGACTTGCCTGAGGGCACACAGCAAGAGGCTGGGGCGTCCTGGGATGCCAACACGACCCAGCCACCATCACTCCCCTCCCCACATAGGGCTGGCGGGCCCAGCTGGTCGCCGTCCTCTAGCAATGGGGCAACGACCTGACCCTGGGCTCGATTCCCACGTCTGTCACGCTAGCTGGGCGACTCCGGGGAGCGCACGGGTTCCTCAGTTTCCTGCCACAGTGTGGGGCAGGAGGAGCTTTCCAGCTCACCCTCCCCAGCAGGCTCAGGCCTGGTCCCCAACAACTTCCTCCATCTTACCTGCAGGGAGAAGGGCTCGATCCCAGGGGCGAGGATCTTCACAGAAAAGCCCGTGTCCTGAATGACAATGACTTCCTGGCCGGTGGTCTCGTCTCCCGGGTCGGCCTCATCAAGCCCATTTTCCCTGGGTGGCTCGGCCGCCCCTTCCTCCTTCTTCAGGCTCTCTGGGCAGTCCCCGTTTAAGAGCATGACTGATGGCAGCTCTGTGGGACAAGAATGGATCAGAATCAGGCAGCCTCGCCGGTCCGGGGTGCCGTCCGCCTGACCTCACACGCCCCAGCTGCGCGGTCTTGCCCTGCCCTCCGCACACCTGCAGGCCACTCACACACCCAGCCGCCCTCCCAGCCACTGCTCCTGGACCCACTGTAGTGTGGAACCTGAACACGCGGCCCAAACCACTCTCCCCAGGGTCACCAAAGCTACCCTTCAAGCCAAACCCAAGGGTCTCCTCCAGCCCTAACACACCTGGCTTCCCAGCAGCAGCCCCTCTTCCTCTGTCTTCTCTGACCCACGCAGTACCCTTGCCCCTCCCCCTCCAGCCCCATCCTCTTCCATCCCCACTGAGCTGAGGTCCCAGGCTGCGGGGCTGCAGGGGTGTGCCCGGGTCCAGCCCCTCCTCCTTCTGACCCCACCCCCTCCCATACACGCCTGCCTCGTGGCTCACACGGCCAATCCTGTCCCCTCTCCAGCCTTTTGGACCAAGGAGACCGCCGCCTCCCAGGCATCAACAAGTGGCTGGCCCTGAGGCATCACTGAAGACTGTCTTGCAGGAACGGAACTCATCTTCCTCCTCACACCAGCGCCTGCTCTATCTAGTCCCCCACTAGGTATCTCCCAACCCACCCACAGGACCTGGCCTCTGCAGCCACTGCCCTGGGGCAGGCATTGCCTCTATTCAGCAGGGACACCTTCCTCCTGGGAAGCCCACTGCTTACAAGACCAAGCGTCTTAGGCCAGTGCTCTCAGGCACCCACCTGAAGTCAGCCTGGGCTCCTGCCTGCTCCCTGCTGAGGCCTAAGGACATCACACCATAGAAGCCTGGGACCGCCTACTGCCCTCCCACCGCTGTGCTTGTGCGTGTGCTGCCCCTGACATCGCATTGTGTACAGCAAACACTGACTCACCCTTCAAGGCCTAGGAGAAATAAACCTTTTCGGCAGCCTGCCCAAACGACCCTTAATGGCGGGATCACACCCCACCCCCCTTTCATTCCCAGAGACATTCTGCACCCAGGGTGGCGTCCTCACCAGCTCTAACCACCACGTTCTATCTTGCCCAGGCTCAACAAAAAAGGCAATAAATAAGGTACTTACTGCAAACCTGTAGCTAAGTCCAATATTTGTATACAGCACCCAATCCAGCAGGGTGGGGAGCAGGTGACAAAACCTTGCATTCCTACCCAGGCACCAGTGGAACAAAGGAGAGCCCCTTGTTCCGCCGAGGAGCCAACGACCGCCTCTCATCACCTCCAGCAGACACAGGCCTGCCTGGGCACCCATCTGGGAGACGAGGACCTTGGCCCCAGGACCTGCCCATCAGCCAGGCCTGGCTTGGCTTGAAGCTCAACGGTGCCAACTCCGAACAGGGCCTGGGTTCCCTTCCAGAAAGAACAGCTCACCCAGCTCTGCCCATCCCATCGAGACCCACCTCCCTTCCCTGCCCAGCTCTCAGGAGTGGGGACAGGTACATCTCCCAGAACTGTGTGGTTCCAGTCCGGACCCCCCAGAAACGCGGAGCAGAAGCCTCAGGGAGGGGATGAGGCCGGCACAGAAAGGCAGAGCCGGGGCCTGCAGAGCCACTCCCTTTCCCGGGAACCCCACGAGTAAATGAGAAACAAGACCTCTGAGAGCCCCGACAGTCTCTTCCCCCTTCCCCCAAAGAGGGGTATTTGAAGGCCAGAAAGGCTCGGAGCCTGGCCTAAGGTCAACCAAGTCAGAAAGGGCCCAGACCCCCTCCTGCGGCCTGCACCCCACACCGCGGCACCGCCCTCCACTCTGGCCGCTGAGGACTTTCAATGACTGTGTCTGTCACGCCTCTCCATCCCCACCCCGCCCTCTCCAAGCCTGCCGTGGACTCCCAGGAACCACAAGGATGCACAAAGACCTCCCTGCCAGGACCCAACCGCCCCGGCAAGGACACCCCCAAGCCACTAGCAAGGGAGCAGCCCCCCTCCAGGCGAACACCTGCCTGACTCTAGGGACACAGCAGATGACAGCTGGGCGGTGGTCGGTCAGCTTTCAAAAGGCAAGAGCAGGGCAGCCAGGTGGAGACACCTGCAGCCAGGAGTCAGGAACCCCCCACAGGGTCCCTGAGAAAGGCTGTGCCGGCTGCCAAAAGCCCCTGGAAGGAGGAGAGAAGCAGGAAGAGCCCCCACCCAATATCGAACAGCAGTTTTGCGCTGTGAGATCCCAGAAGCAGGGAGTCAAATACCTAGACAGAGACAGCCTGTGTTCTTCCGCCTGTCTGGAATGGGAGGACAGAAAGGAGGGAGGACAAGGCAAGGCGGCCCCGGCTCCCACTCTCCTTCCCCAGCCCAGGGAGACCACCCTCAGGGGTACCTATTCCCTGATCTGGTTTCAAAGGAATGTGACTGGCTGCCCATGGGCCTCCTCTCCCCAGGACAGCATGTCCTGCCCCGAACCTTCCTCCAAGGAGCCCCAAAGGTCTCCCCACCCCTGGATGAAGGCGGAGCGATCTCCCCCACACAACTGGCTGGCTCACCAGGTCCCGGTGCTCACCTGGTGCAGTTGGCAGCTGCCCTGCCCTCGGCTCTGGAGTCTCAGGATGGCCGTGGCAGCAAGGCAGCCGGCTCTCCACATCAGCCCCAGCATTGCCCGGGTGCCTCGTTCCAGCCTCAGCCGCTACCCTTGCCCTAATGCAGCCAGTCGGTCCGGGGCTGGAGCTCTGGCTGGCTTCGGGTTTCAGCGGGGCCAGGCCTGCCGTGGCAGCCCCAGGAAGGGCACACTCCCCCTGCCTGGCATCCCGCTCAAGGTCGGCCAGAAGGACAGCTGTGGGCCAGGATAACCCAATGGCCCCAGGACCCCAGGGGGAGCTGCTATCAGCACTCAGGCCCGCCTCCCTATGCCCCCTAGAGAGGGGGTCACTGCCGGCAAAGCTGCTAGGGGGATCAGAGAACCCAGAACTTGGGGTACCTGGACCCCTCAAGATTGAGGGCGTAGGAGACTGGCTGGCAGGGGCAGGGCCCAGTAAGGGGGTCCTCTCCTCAGCTCCCACCCCAGTGGGGGTGAACAGGACCGCTTCCGCCAGCTGCCGCCAACAGCTGGCACAGACCCGGGCCCAGGCCATAAGGTGGCTGCCTCTGCCCACCAGTCCCAGACACTGAGCACCCCGCTGTCCCTGGGCCAAGGGCCTGGCTGGGACCTCTGGCTCCTGCTGCCCCCTGCAGGTGACCTGGCTGCCAGCCCCTTCCTGGGAGTCACTGGTTCTGCTGGGAGGGAGGGGGATGGGCCCCCAGCTTCCCAGAGGACAACTGCACCCGTGCCCCTGGCCTCCAGGCTCCATCAAGAAGCTGGCAGGCTCCATCTTCCCTTCCCAGCAGCCCCGGCCCTGCCAGGAGGGAACCAAGTCTCTCCCAGGGGAGAGCAGAGCTGGCAGCAAGAGGCCGGCGGCCGCGCAGCGAGGGGAGGAGCCCAGCTGGCCAGGGCGCCTTCCCAGGGCCTCTGACATGCTGCCAGGGCCCAGTGAGGACTGCCCCAGCATCCACCCTACCCAGGGTGGGCGGGAGTCAGGCTCTCACTCCATCCCCTCCCCCCTCCAGGACCAGGGATCAGGCAGACCCTGGGCTGCTTCACGGCCCCCATGGAAGGTTCTGTGTCTCACACAATGACCAGAGGAGAAGGACCAGGCCTAGGCAGAGCCCCTCTGCTCCTATCCCCTCGCAAAATACACCCTAACCCTCTGGAGGCAGGGCTGGGGGAGGGCAGCCTGGCAGTGACCCCAGAGCAGTGTTGACAACCACCTACGTTCTGGTTACCACAGAGCCAGGACTCACGCTAGGCCCAGCCCACCGCAGCTCCCTGAACCACCATGCCAGCCCATCTCACCTACGGCAGCTCCCTAAATTGGCTTGGCCAGCCCATCTCACCTGAGGAAACTGAGGCTCCAGAAGGCTAGGAAGCAGCTGCCCAAGGTCACAGAGGCAAGAGGCAGCCAACCCAGAGCAAGAAAAAACCAGGTGTTACTATCACATTTGGGATTAAGTTTTAAAAAAAGAAAAAACAGGTGTGTCAAATGCCCAAGCCCATGGCTTTTGAGTCACTCCCACAGAGCGCAGGCTACCGACCAGCCCTTGCCAACCCGCTCCCGCCGACCCGCTCCTACTGACCCACTCCCGTGCAGCGCAGCCCACCCACGCCCTCCCTAGGGGCCCGGCAGCACCCACAGGTGGGCTGCACCTGCTTCCTTCTCCAGGCCTCAAGACTCTACCCGCGGGCAGATCTATCCCAGGCACAGCATCCCCCAAGGCCTCTACACCCTCGGGCCACTACTCCCTCCTCTCCCGCCCGCACCTCTGAGGATGTGAGCTTTCGGGGAGGGGAAAAGGAGGCCTTCTGCAGAGCGGGAGAACGGGGCCCAGCAGCACTCTGCATACACACAAACTCAGATGCCAGTGAAGAGGTAAAGTGCACCCCAGCAGGCCTGGAGGCGCAGGGAGCCCAAAGGCAGCAGACAGGAGGAACTAGAAAAGAAACTTAGGCCTCCTCAGAGGGCCTGTGAGCTGCCCAAGCCAGGCACAATCTCACTCAGAAGATCGTGCCAGGGCCAGGCCACGCCCCAGCCAAGGCCTCGGCAGTTGAGGCTCCAGCAGGAAGTAGGGTCCTAAAAGGTGCATCACCCGTCCCAGGAGCCCAGGGCTTCAGGGAAAGGCAATGGGGCAGGCAGGCGGCCTATCGAAGAACCCACAGACCAGGCACTTGTTTGCCTCCTTCCTGTCCCACCCAGGCCAGAGGCAGGTGTTCAGGGCCTGAGGACAGTCCAGAGTTCCTCAAGCTGCTCTCCCCACATCCCATCCAAGAGAGGAGCTTTAGGATACTCTTGGGGAGCTCCCATTAGCCCCTAGACTCCTTCCCCAGCTGCCAGCCTCCTCCTCCTCCCCCTCTGGGCCTCAACTCCAGGGAGCTCTCCCCTGGGCAGAAGGAACCTGACACACCACTGTGGACCTGAAAAACCTGCCTGTTCTCTTAACCCCTAAAAGCCACTGTATTCCCAGGAAGGTAACCAACCCTTGCCCCCCACCCTCAATGGCCTTGATCACCTCCTTCTTAAGGGGACTGAAGAGCCTTCCAGAGCTGGATCTCAGAGGTCAGAAGCCTTCGTTCTGATGCTCAGGTGGGCCCCAGCTTGCAGGGGGGTGGGTCTTCATTAAGGCTCCTTCCTTTCAACAGATCCGGGCTGGCTGTAATGTAAGTCTTAGCTACCTGTACTAGCTTCCCAGGGACGTAGGAGCCCATGTCCTGCCCACGAATATGCTCCCAGTTTCCCCAAATAGCTGTGCCCTTCCCTGACTCAGTTTACCCCAGACAGAGCCCCACCACCAGCACAGTTAGGAAGGGGCTTCACTGACTCCCTCACAGAAATCCTCCAACAGATGCTCCTCGGCCCCCTCGTTCTCAGCATGTGATCCAAACCAACACGCCTGTCCCAACTTCCTCTGGGCCTGGCCACGGCAGCCTTGGCTTGCTGGCCATGAGCTGGAATCTAAACACTTCCCTTAACAACTAAATCGCTGTGTGACCTTGGGCAAGTCACTTCGACTCTTCAGGTCTCTGCTAAAGGGGAAATCAGCCAAACTCCTCTTATCTAGCCTGCCCACACGGATTCAGAACCACATCAGCACAAAGCCTGGTAGGTTGGGGCGATCAGCATTTGCTGTGCTGCCCAAACCTTGGCCTTGTCTAGGCAATCAGCAGTACTGCCCCAGCACCTGTCCCTCACCCCAAGGTAACTCTGCTATGATGGGAACAGGGTCAGAGGGCCGAACGCTGTCCCCATCCTGATCCCCAAGTCAGCCCTGGCGCACTCACTGAAGCTGGGAAGGGAGATGATGAGGCGTTAAGACCACAAGTCCCAACTGAGGACAGTCGACAGAGGCGGGAGGAACTGGGGGACAGGAGTAGGTCTGCACCCCCACTGTCACCCGGAGCAAAGAGGACCGCAGCCCAGGCCTGAGGAAGATGACGACTGAAGGTCTGGGAAGGGGATTCCAGCCCCAAAGCTGGAGTCTGAGACACGGCGGAGGTAACAGAGGGAAGAGAAGGGGCTCAGGAGAAAGGGAAAGCAGGCCCCCGCCCCCCGAGACAAGCTGCAGCCACTGCCACAGTCACCACCACACAGCCACCATGGGGGATCGCTGGGAGCTTGACTCCACACTAACGACCTTTGCTTTAAAAACAGCAACTCTGGTCTGACCCACTTTTCGCAATAAGGCAGGTTAATGATCAAGTTCTGGCACAAACACTTCCCCCTGCCAAGGAGTTCGGTTTTGCCCCATGCACAGGCAGACGCCCCCTACACCAGGTCGGCCGAGCGGGCCAACACACCTGAGAGTCACCGCCACAGCCTGAAGACCTGCGGTTACAGCCTGGCCTCAGGGCATGAACCAGGGACGCCCCGCACCTCGTGCTCTTCCCACAAACCAAGTCTGGGAAGCCTCGAGCGGAGCTTCACTCCCAGGGCTGCAGCCGTGCGCCCCGGGAATGCCTGGGAAGCCGACGCGGAGCAGGTGCCGAAGGGGGCCGTCCCGCAAGCATCGGAGCGACCCCAGCTCAGACAGCTCCCATGCCCGGGAGCAGAGGGGGTGGGGCCGCCGATTCTCTCGGTCTGCGGCGGCGGCGCACCCCGAAACCGCGTGTGCGCGCACGTGTCCCTGCGATGAGGCGCGCGTGTGCCCGCCGAGGGTGCCAGCCGAGGCTGCCCTCCCCGGGACCCCACGAGCGAAGCCCGGACTGCAGCCGGGGGCGACTGTGAAGGTGACCTTCAGGGCGGGGGCGACCCGGTGGAGGCCCCAGCGAGATACAAGCGGGCCAGGCGCGGAGGGAAGGCGACGGTCCCCGCGGAGTCCCGAACCCGCCCGCCCTGGTCCGGCGCCCCCCGCCCGGCGGCCCGCTGGCCCCGGCCCCGCTCACCGGCCGCGCCCGGCCGCCCCTTGCCCCCGGCCTGCGAGCCGTGATCCCGGGCGCTGTCGGCCGGGGCGGCCGCCGGCAACTCGTCCGTCTTGATGACCATGGTGGCGGGAGCGGGCGTCCGCTTCGGCTGTCCGCGCCGCCCGCCGCGCCACTAACCCAAGTGCCCTGCGCGCCGCGGCCGCTGCGGGAAGGACGGAGTCACCGGCCCACGTGGTGCGCGCCGTGGCCTTTGACCCCCCGCCGTTCCCCTGCCCCGCCCTCGCGCCCGGCCCGGCCCACGGCAGCCCGCGAGGGACAAAACGCGCCGCGCCTCGTTCCCCGCCCACGGACGCGGTGACTTTCCCAAACGTCTTAAAGGCAACGCACCCTGACTCAAGGCCCAGGGAGGCTGGGCGCCCTCTCGGGGCGGGGCCTCGGGGAGACTCCCTGCCGCTCGCTGCCCGTCGGGCGGGCACCGTGACCTTGGGTGGAGACTGGTCTGGGTCGGCCATGGCTAACCCTCCCTTGCCCAATGATCCCCTGTTTTCTTTTGCAAATTTGCTAAATGACCGCGCAGTCTGTCATCTGCGGTGTTCGCGTGACCGTCAGCGCCCTCCCCACCGGGCAGGCCCTTTCCCGCCTAATGGGTGCGGCGGGATTATTGAGGGAGTGGAGGGCGGCGTAGGGCACGGGCACGAGAGGCGAGGGCGGGACATGGCAAATGGGGCTCAAGTGTCAGAATGGACCCGCCAGACTGTGTTCCGAGCCAGAACGGGCCCCCTGCTCGCGTCCTCGACCCCTGGGTCCTCACCTCCTGGCTGGTGTCCTCATGTGACAGGGGAGGAGGCCGAGACCAAGGTCACGCAGAGAGCGAGGGATGGAGCCGGGTCCGACTCCATCCACAGCCAGGACGCTTTACAGTAGCTCGTATTTTTCACTTGGCTGGGGCTTGGCGGGGACTGAACAGTGAGGTCAGGGGACACTGGAACCAGCTCTTGCAGTGAGTTGAAGTGCCCCAGGCGGTCTTTCCTGCCCAGGCCCCAGAGGGCTTTTGTGAAGCACCTGAGGCGTTTTCCCTTAGGAGCGTTTGTCAAGCTCTAATGGGAACTGGGAGGACTGGGAGGGCCCCAGCTAGGGCCTCGCGCAGATTGCAAAGGAAAGCCGACCTTGTCCTGGAGAGCACGTGGTGAGGAAAGTCACGATAGGATGTGAGCATTTAAACAGGAGGAAGGAAAATGGGAAGTGGTAAGATTCTTCTCGGCCTGTCGGCGCAGCGGCTCGCGCCTGTAATCCTAGCACTTTGGGAGGCCGAAGCGGGCGGATTACTTGAGTTCAGAAGTTTGAGACCAGCCTGGGCAACATTTCAAAATCCCCGTCTCTACAAAAAATACCTGGCTTTTTTTAAAGCCAGGTATGGTGGCACGCGCCTGCAGTCCCAGCTACTCGGGAGCTGAGGTGAGAGGATCATTTAGGAGGGCTCAGACTGAGCCCAGGAGTTCCAAGCTGAGGTGAGCTATGATGGCACCACTGCACCCCTGCCTGGGTGACAGACAGTGTCTCAAAAAAAAAAAAAAAAAAAAAAAAAAGCCGGACGCAGTGGCTCACGCCTGTAATCCCAGCACTTTGGGAGGCCGAGGTAGACAGATCACCTGAGGTCGGGAGTTCAAGACCAGCCTGACCAACACGGAGAAACCCCGTCTCTACTAAAAAATACAAAAAAATTAGCCGGGCGTGGAGGCACATGCCTGTAATCCCAGCTACTCGGGAGGCTGAGTCAGGAGAATCCCCTGAACCCAGGAGGCGGAGGTTGCGGTGAGCCGAGATCACGCCATTGCACTCCAGCCTGGACAACAAGAGGGAAACTCCATCTCAAAAAAGAAAAAACAAGTGTGTGTATATATATATATGTACATATACACACTTATGTGTGTGTGTATGTATATACGTATGTGTATACACATGCTTGTTCCTCCTTTGTTATACAAATGTGCGGCAAATTGTACCTGCTATTCTTCACTCTGATTTTTTTTTTACTTTACACACTTTCAGTAGGTGTTCTCATTCCATTTATGCTGGATAACGTTCTATTGTGTGGTTGTACCTTAATTATTTTAGCCAGTCACCTGACTGATGGGTGCTTAGTTTGTATTCAAGAAACTCGAGGGTTTTCGAGAATGGTACCTAGTGGTCCAGTGTAGCTAAAGTTGGAAGCCCTTGCATGTTGGTAATGCTACTCACAATAGGAAGCTCCGTTTTAACCCTGGGGGTTGGGGAAGAGCAGCAAGCCTGGGGTTAGAGAAACAGACACGTATAAAAAGTATCATCCAGCCGAGTGCAGCGGCTCACGCCTGTAATGCCAACACTTTAAGAGGCCGAGGAGAGCAGATTGTATGAGCTCAGGAGTTGGAGACCAGCCTCGGCAACATGGCAAAACCTCATCTCTACAAAAAAACACAAAAATTAGCTGGGTGTGGTGGTGTGCGCCTGTAGTCCCCGCTATTCAGAAGGCTGGGGTAGGAGGATCACTTGAGCCCAAGAGATCGAGGCTGCAGGATCTCGCCACTGCACTCCAGCCTGGGCAACAGAGCAAGACCCTGTCTCAAAAGAAGAAAAAAAAGGCTGGGTGCGGTGGCTCACGTCTGTAATCCCAGCACTTTGGGAGACTGAGGTGGATGGATCACGAGGTCAGGAGATGCTGAAGATCGCACGCATCATTGGCACTCCAGCCTGGAGGGACACGCAAGCAAGATTCTGTCTTAAAAAGAAAAAAAAAAAAAAAAAAAAGGCCAGG